GGTCAATATTGATTCACCGGTTAAGAACTTAACAAGATATTGTTTGCAAACCTAATAGAAGCACTGAAAAAACGGTTAAACCAAAATTTATTTAATCGCTAAGCAATGAAGATGTCCATTGTTTAATGGGCCAAGTTGTACCCAAGTTAAATCCTAGACCATATGGGTTTTGTGCTTGGTCATTCAAAAACTCGATTGAGTATTGATGGATGAAGAAAAACGTAAAAGCTTCTTGAAGCTTATTAGGTTGCTTAATATGAAGATTAAGCCTCCCGAAATGAATTGCAGGAATTAAGGTGAATTGAATTGGACGCAAAGAAAAACTCGAACCCCTACGCTACTAATTGTGTAACTTTCTAATCCCACACGCTTTTTGTATCCTCAAATATTCTATCATGCACTGCTGTCCGACGTGGTTTATGTGAATAGAGAGCTATATGTCTGTCCAAGAATTCAACAATGAAGAATCTGAAGGCCATAGATTCTAATGTACTTTACATTGATGCATGCTAGAAAAACTTTTCTCGTCTCCGAATCTATTGTTTATTTGTTCTTTTTACCGTCCAGATTGTCTGTACTCAACAATTGCTCCTCCTTTGTTCAATGGTTTTAGCACTTGTAGTTAATTTGGGTTCTTTTATTTTTTTCAGTTTACGTTAGAGGCTGGTCAACTTGTAACGAAAGTCACGAAATCGTAGCATCGGAGGATTAAAATGGGAAGTTACATGGAAAAAGCATAAAAATATAAGAACTCAATTGAATGACCAAAATAAAAAATGAGTATAAGTTGAAGAGTGGTTGCCATAATTAACCTTTAACTTATACATTCTCAATTAATTTACGGTAATACACTCGTAATTAATGCAAGTTATATTATGTTATTTTACAAATGATAGCGTTTGAGAGTTTAATTGTTAAATGTGAAGGGGAAGATAAATTTATTTGAATCTAACCTGCACCAAACTGTATAGGCATTATTATTTTCCGTCACTGCAATAAAGCGCGATCTACATGTTATATTATGTTTCTAATGACCAAAAAGGAGTTATGTGATGTCTCACTTGTGGACCAAAGCATATTCATGTGTCATGTCAAAAACCAAGTCCCACAATTAGTACAGTTCCCCTTCGCGCCTATTTATCATCGTCCTTGCAAATTTGTGCATGAAAGCAACCAATATATCCTAAACGTTCAAAGCAACGCAGAAGCCACCTTTTTACCAATTTGAAAAGCTGATAAATGTTTTGTGGGGATATATCGACTCTCAGTCATCGAGTTTACTAAGAAATTTCAAAACCTGTCGTAACTTTTAACCTTCTCAAACAATGTATTATAAGTTTGAAATACTGCTAATGCAATGACAAAAAATAGAGAGAATTTTGAGTATGACAGTCACACAATTACGTTTGCTACTAATCCACATGTTATAATATGTGTGAATGACAAAGTATACGTCTGAAACTAAGAAACAATCTTCAATAGGGATGTCTCGTGGTTGGTCATGTAGACTAAGCCAATAAAGGTGTTATGTATCATGTTAACACGAGTAGTGTCAGATTAACCAAAATATTAGAATTGTATATTTTTGTGTGTTTGTAGAAAGAATGAGGTCAAAGAAGGGACTCACTGCCACATTGAAGTTTTTCTTCCCTCAATCCAAAACTATACTAATAGTAAACAACACGTGATAGCGCAGTGATCATACTAAAAAAATCTCGTATCGAATACCATAAACTATTCGTAAACAACACGTGGAAGGTTCAAAATGGATGACTAGAATTAGAATCCAAAAGGCTAAAATCGAGTCTTTTTAAACACTCATAAAATCAAAATCTGGTCCTTTTGCAATTGCAGTTCTCAATCCCAGCTTGCTTTTGTAAGAGTTGAACAATTCTCTTACACCTTTAAATCTCGTACACGTTTCCTCCCTACCCACACTCGTGCCGTTTCCTCCGCCTCCTCACGTGCCACCACGTCCCCCTTCTTTTATATTCCTATTCAAACTCCCTCTCCTCCTTCAAACGCCTCTCACTCCTCCCCCTCCCCCTCTCTCTCTGTGAACCTTGCGCCTTTCGATCATCCAATGGCTTCCGCGACACCCCTTTTGACGGATGAGCTCGATATTGTGATCCCCACCATCAGAAACCTCGACTTCCTGGAGATGTGGAGGCCGTTCTTGCAGCCCTACCACCTCATCATCGTCCAGGACGGTGATCCGTCGAAGACCATCAAAGTCCCGGACGGCTACGACTACGAGCTCTATAACCGCAACGACATTAACAAGATTCTGGGTCCGAGGTCGTCCTGCATTTCGTTCAAGGACTCTGCCTGCCGATGCTTCGGATACATGGTCTCCAAGAAGAAGTACATATTCACCATCGACGATGACTGCTTTGTATGGCTTCTCCTTTTCTTATTTTTCTAGATTTTTCCAATCTTTGTTTTGTTTTTGGATTTTGATTTTTTTTTATGAGTTTTTAAAGTCTGGATCTTGGTTTTATTTGATCTTGTATTTCATGGTTTTGCGTAAAATATGGATGACTGAATAATTCATGCGGCACGTTCTTCTGTCTCTATCGATTTTTCCTTTCTTTAATTGATCGTGATATTATTTTTTTACACTTTGTGGAGCTCATTTCGTAACGTATCTCAATGATCCGCATTGTTTATTTTTTAAGTCTTTCTTAAAGATCTTGTCTACAAAAAATCATCCAAATCTAAAATCATATGGCCGTTGGATTAAGAGTTTAGGGTTCCTTTGTAAAACCGCATTCGTCCATTTTCTTTCCTACAGATATAAGTCTTAATGGTATCACGGATCCGCCCATGTTTAACTGTTGATTTTGTATATTTTAATTATATGACTATTGCCTAATACATGTAAAGTCCCATATAAAATGAAATAAGAGTCCTTAATTTGTTAGAGATTGTATGTAAATAGCACTGATGGCATCTAGTTTGATCTGGATTGAATAATGTTAATTTGTTATGCATGCAAAGTTAAACACATGAAACTGCACATCACCACAGTAGGATTTGTGTGTAGGTAAATCCCTATTTTAAATCAATTTCAATAACAATATGTCTCTCCTTATACAGAGAAACTTGCATGCAATGACACTATGTCGTTATCTCACACTACTCACACACTATCATATTTTTTAACTTTTCACACATTACTGTGTGTTTAGTGTCCAAACTAATTTCACATTGTCATGCCTTTAAACTTTCATACATATCAATGTGTGATTAATTTAGAAAGCCGCCACTGCATAGACATCTTTGTTGCATGAAAATCCCTCCTTCCCAAGATCCCATCCATCCCACTATTTTAAATTTGGAAAATATTTTTACACTGAACTTGTTTAACTTCTCTGTTGGACTTCTTCCATCACTATATTTGTTTGTTTTGTTCCTAGATATAGATATAGCATATGCATTTGTTTTATGTACAACTTACTTCTGTCCTTTCCCCTCCCAATTCTGAAGCACTTAATTTCAATTTGTTTGTACTACAACTCTGAAATTGTTGGCTTATTTTTAAGTTATCATGATTTTCTGTGTGTATATACTTCTAGGTTGCAACAGACCCATCTGGCAAACCAATCAATGCACTGGAGCAACACATCAAGAACCTCCTTGCACCATCGACCCCATTTTTCTTCAACACGCTGTATGAACCCTTCAGAGAAGGTGCGGATTTTGTTCGTGGATACCCTTTCAGTCTCCGTGAGGGTGTTCCGACCGCTGTCTCTCACGGTCTCTGGCTCAATATCCCGGATTATGATGCACCAACACAGCTTGTGAAGCCACTTGAGAGAAACACAAGGTAGACACTCCCTAAAAAAAAAACCTATCTTGCATTGTACGCATCGTGCAATATATGTTCCTAACATTATATGCTTACGCTTTCACTAGGTTTGTGGATGCTGTTCTGACAATCCCAAAGGGCACATTGTTCCCAATGTGTGGGATGAACTTGGCTTTCGACCGTGACCTCATCGGCCCTGCTATGTACTTCGGACTTATGGGTGACGGTCAGCCAATTGGACGCTACGACGATATGTGGGCTGGCTGGTGCACCAAGGTTCCCTTTCTTCTCTTGTTTTAACCATACAATATGCCCATATGTCTTCTAATTCTTCCATTGTTCTTTCTTTCATGTGAATACTATATTATGTTGCATATATCGGTTAGGTCAGTTGGTCAGAACAATGTGTCGTACTTGATACTGAAGATTAACAGTATGTATTATCATGAAAATTTCAGGTGATAACAGATCATTTGGGGCTTGGAGTGAAGACAGGGCTGCCATATATCTACCACAGCAAAGCCAGCAACCCATTTGTGAACCTGAGGAAGGAGTACAAAGGCATCTTCTGGCAGGAAGAGATTATCCCATTCTTCCAATCTGCTGTCCTTCCCAAAGACTGCACCACCGTGCAAGCATGCTACATTGAGCTCTCCAAGCAGGTCAAGGAGAAGCTCAGCAAGGTGGATCCCTACTTCGACAAGCTCGCCGACGCCATGGTAACATGGATTGAAGCTTGGGATGAGCTCAACCCTAATGGACCTGGATCCAAACTGGCCAACGGCAAGGCCGAGTGAAAAAAAATAGAAGATAAAAAGTTGATTTAACTGCATTTTGCTCTTTATATTTTTACTGTACCTTCCGGGAGTTATATCTATCGTTAGTTTAGTGAATCTAATCTTTTGTTTTTTACCCTCCTCCTGAGCCAGTTTGGTCATCGCTTTCAGTTACATATCGGCAGATGTAATTTTTATTTAACGTTCTCCAATGAGCTTAGTGCAATAAAAGTACGTAGTTGTTCATTGTCAAGCTTTTTACCATCTCGATAGGAAATGTCAATTTTACTTTTACGTGTCCAAATGGAATTACTGTTGAGTCAATTTATAATTTGGCATTCATATACGCTCGATTGCATCTAAGTTTTTATCTTCCGCCGGCTCCTCTTCGTTCAATTACTTTAGTCTAAAGAAGCTGGCAAAATTGCACTGTAGAAATAAACAGTGTTTTGGACCACATTTCAGTTTATTTACGAAGCTGCCACTGTCTCTCTCTGCCACTGATTTTGACGCCGCGTGTTGATGATCGTGGAAAGGCAGGGTACCATTCTCTTCCTCCCCTATTTCTCTCTCCCTCAGATCCCATTCTCTTCATCATTCTCTTTCTCTCTCCCTCAGTTTCAATCTGCTCACCTAAAATCCCCAGATCGAACATCATCCATCTCAAATAAAAAAAACCTTCCCCCTTTAGAACCTATAGAATCAGCACTCATGGAATAATCATTGATTTTTGTTGAGGTAATTTGATTGTTTCCTCTTCTGTAATTTGTTTTTGTTAGTTTATTGTTCCTGAATTTTAATTTTTCTGTTTCTGACTTGGAAGAGTCGACCTTCAGGTGATAAAATCATGATGTGACGATCGTATTCTCTCTCACAGCTCACAACGATGAAATCGCACAGGGCTTCGTTGATTTCTGTCAACTCCGACCACGACCAGTGTCGGGTAAGCTATCGACTACCCCCTCTTCATCTTCTTTTTCTTCTTCTGCTTCTCCATGCACATTCCAGTTTGACTGTTTGTGTTTTGGATGCATCTTGATTTCCTTAGTATGTTTAGACGGTTCGGATGCGCCTAATAAACAAACCTAATTTGCCTCGCGCGTTCAGTCATCACCTTCCTTCGTCTAAAACCTCATGCAAAGACAGAGCTCCCCCAAAACCCTAAACGCCCAAAGGTAATTTTGTTTAATTTTTCATTTAGTTTTAATTATCCGACGAATCCCTAGCATAAATTCACTCTTTTTCTACTCTAAATGTGTATAATTTTTTGCAGTATTAATCACAAAGCTACGGAGCTGAAATTGCAAACGCTATCCATGGCTCGCTTCAAAATTGTAAGCTTGAAATTTTTAGGTTCTGTTTGGTTGTTGAGAAAACTGAATCAAAGAGGTTTTTTTTTTTTTTTTTGATTAATTTTCTTGGAAACGTAGTTGATTGTTGTCTTTCTGAAAATTTGAAAACAGAAGAAGAAGGTGTTTGTGAAGTCGGTTTCGACGAAGAAGCAGGCTAATATGGATCATATCACAGGGGATAAAATCCCAAGGGGCTTAGCGAAGTGTATGTCTTATGTTGAGGGATTCTGTATCAAATTTGTTGTTGGTTTGTTTTCTTAAAGGTTGATCCGGATGAAGTGAATGCCCTGGCTCAACTCATGACATGGAAGACTGATGTGGCCGACATTCCATATGGTGGAGCCGAGGGTGGAATCGGATGCACCCCCAGGGACTTAAGTTTGAGCAAGTTGGAGCGTCTGATCACGTCTTCGCTCAGAAAATCCATGACCTCATTGGAACTCATACTGATGTTCCCGCACCCGATATGGGCACCAATGTTCAGACCATGGCATGGATGTTGGATGAGTACTCCAAATTTAATGGTCACTCACCAGCTGTTGTCACTGGAAAGCCCATTGTAAGTATTCGACACTGACAAAATTAAGCCAAAAATCAGTTTCCTGGAGTTGAAAAGTAAGTAATTTGTAAATTCTATGTTTATGTCATTTGTTGTCAATGTTGTGATTTATAACATAATTGATCTGGTATGCATACAGAACTGGTGTTCTATGTTTATGTTGTCATTTGTTGTGAATGTGGTATAAAAATTTATGTTTATGTCATTAGTTAACCAAATGGCTCAAGTTCGATGCAAAGAGTGTAAGAAAAAACCATTATGTATTCCTTGCATACATAACTGCTATGCATTAATCTGCTCTGTATCCTTTAATATTTCTGATTTATAACTTACTAAGATGTTGGGTTAATTGAGTTCGTTTTGTTAGAATGGCCACCACTTTTTGAAGTGATTTTATGTGAGTAGAATCCACCAAATGATGTTTGGTATGGTTAATATTCCTCTCTCTCTCTCTCATGAAGTCACTGATTGCATTAAAAAAAAGGTTCCCAGTTAATCAAGTATAGCTGGAAAGGGAAGCCAAAACTTTGTCCATTCAGAATTTCTACTGTGAGTAATTTCCTTTACATTAGGATATTGGATTCATTTCATACTAATAAGTTTTTTATCTTACATCTTCTTCCTACTATGCATCTCCACGATCATTACTAGATATCCTAACCGCTTGAATGGCTTCATTTTTCGTATCTTTAACAGGATGAAACCACACTAATCCGGTATTCACATGTAGAAGAACGAACTCCGAAATTAGCTTCTGTCTCTCGAATTATCCCCGGACAGAGAACAGTGAGTTTACTCCACTACCAATAACTAATCAATATTGTTGCAATTCAACTCAGTAATTGTGCATTTCAGTCTATAATTATGAACCACCATTGTGTCCTACTCGATGTATGTGGTTAAAAAATTTGGTTAAAACCGAGGATTGCTTTTTTTATTTTTTTTACATTATTGTTATCGTTCAAGCTAAAAATGTCTATATACATAGTTTAGGAAGGGGGTGCTCACAATATAGAATGGCCATAAATGTTATTGTAATAGGTTGCTATTACATTTTGTGGTTAAATCAGATTGGTTGTCTAAACCGTGCTACGTGTTTCGTAACTCTCTGTATTTCTTATTTGTATCAGTGGAGTTTATATTTTTGTTTTTCAAATTTGATTTCCTCTCATTCTGTTTTGATGGATATTTCAGAATTTGAGAAGGTGGTTGTGGTTTCGTGCGATCGCCGTTATGCAGCTCAGACCATCACGATTCACTATTGTAACCCCATCACTGCCGTCGCGACCACCGCCGCCACATCACCGCTGTCGAAAACACTAGGTAATTTGTGAATTAGGGTTTTTTTTTATTATGTGAATTTCTGGTTTAGGGATTTAGGGTTTTTGAGTTAGTTTTTGTGAAGGTCATTTTTTGATTTTAGGCACACTATAATCGATTACGAGTTTTCGGATCCTAAACACTTTGAAATGGTTTCCAGAAAAGACATCTTTCCAAAGGCGAGTAGTGACACTGTCAATTTCCTCAACCAATCTTCACTGGAATTTTCTTCGTCATCCTATATATTGCAGCATTAACACATTTGATAAGAAATTTTCAGTTTCTGGCCACTTAAGTTGGCAGGAAAATGGACACAATAAATTATCCATGGCCTTTATCATAGCTGAGAATTGGAAAGTGCCTGAAATTATTAGTTATTAAACTCTTCCTTTTTGTTTGAAATGCGGGTGGTGTTGGATAAATGGGATAAAAGAAATGGTTGTTGCCTGAAAAGTTATCTGAAAATAATGCAAAGAAAATTTTCTGCGTCGTTATTCTTTAATTGTATGATAATGTTTTCAATGTTTTAGATTACATTAATCTGTATTATTTTAAAGTATATATAAAGATTAGTTTATAGGTGTATGCACTTAATATTGGATATATGGTATTTTTCAGTTATTTGACATACAATTGCATATAATCTCAATTTTCTCCTGCAGATTTTATCTGAGCTTTGGAATCGTTGAAAAATTTGTCTAAATAATTAATTAATTGAAATGGTTATTAGTAATGAATGAGATGTTTACTGTGTTTTTTGGTGTGTACAGAGCCAACGGTATGTTGCTAGCGAAGGCAAAAACAAGATGCAGTTTGCTGCATATAGAAAACGGAGGTTAGTTTGATTCCAACTCCTTTTTTTTGTTTATTTGAATAAAAAAATTGGTAAGTTCGAGTCCAATTTGATGATTTCTTGCTTTTCTGCTGCCATTTGCCAAACCCACCAAAGCCACAAGAAAAGACAAGTAGAATTTTATATTCTCTACCCACTTTTATTCATGATTGCTGTTGGCTTCCTTTTTTTAGAAAGGAAAAGTCCCGCTCTTCTTGGACAATACCATCTTTCTCAAAACATGGATTCAGAAAGACATCTGACAGAATTTATTTTGAGTCTAAATTATTAAATTAGGAGAGCTAAGAAGATATTAATAACTCTGATTTTCTCTTTTGGCTACCACCTTGCTCTCCATTTCTCTTTTTCCTCCTGCTCTGCTACTTTTTCAGTGTTACAACCTCTATGCAAAAAACAATTTGTATGTGTTTTGCATGTTTTTATTCATGCTTCTATTCTTTGTTGTCGTGGTGGTGACTTTGTGAATGGAATTCTCAGTTATCTATTCCTCTACAATACATGATACATCTGATTTTTGTTCATTGGCAGATGATGCCACATGCTTGAGATTTTTATGCCATCACTCTGTTGGTTCTTTTGTTATTGTTATTGTTTGTTTTAAAATGTGTATGATGTGTTTGCACAGATTAGAGCAGAGATCCATGATTTAAATTCAAAATAATCCTCACATCATAACATTATGTATTTAAATTTAACTAATAATGTTAAGTAATAAAATGATGTAACAAAACAATATTTATTGACACACGCCAAAAACAAGAATCTTCATTAACGTTATTAATAAAACAATCAATATTTCATAATTTTTTGCATGTAAGAGTACTAATATCGATCCAAAGCCGCATGGCCTACCTGTGTGGTCAAATCTTTTGATATAACAATCTACTCGACATTTTCAATGTACATAGCATTAATCTTTAGTACATTAATTCAAATAAAATTGTGGCTTAAGGGATCAGTTAATGATCCACATGGCATCAAAGTATCTTACTCAATTGTATATTACACGTGTGTTTTGCATTATGTGTGTGCGAATACCTTTTTTCACTGTCAATCTATGTTAGTTTTGAATTCTGAGTTGATTTAACTAACAGGCTTCTTTTTATTTCAGATTAATTTGGTTCTTGCTAAATGAATCAAAGATCATAAGACTAGAACCAGTGGTTTCCAAAAAAGGTTGGTTCTTGAATATTTTCATTTATGCTTTTTCAGTTCTTTGAATCGACTTCCTATAATCCAAAATGAGCTATTGAACAACTCTTTTGCTACATTGTGTTTGCAAATCAATATTTAGGCTAATAATTGAAGGCTGATTCTTTTTTGTTGAAAAATGTAATATGGATTCTTAAATTGTGGCGGTTAATGTGATTTTTAGGTGAATTTTTTGGGTGGGGGAGAAGGGGTGGGTGGGGGCTTTAAATTGTTATTCTCAATTGGTATATAAATATTTAAATGTGCAAAACATGGATATCATGGAAGAATTCAAATGTTTTTCCTGCATTAAGTTGGAGAGCATGATCATTTTCTGTTTGCACATCACAAAGTTTGTTTTGAGTACTTCTCACACCATTGAGGCACAAATGTTCTTCCTGCATTAGTTAATGTTCTTTATATCAAAATTTAATAAATTCAATTTTCCTTTGTATCCAAATATGTATTAAGGTAATTGTGATTGAAGTTTGTTTATGTTTGCTTTCCAAGATTTATTTTTTGTTTACATGTCTTACTTTGTTTATGAATGGTTTTTGGTTAACTAAAAGAATGCTTTTCATTCTCGGTTTTCAAGACTTTATCTACCGTTTACAAGTCAACCCCATAATACCAAAGTACAAGAGAAGCAAACATTAGAGGTGATTTTTGCTCTAACTTATTTAGATTTTATATTCTGGGTTAATTATCAACCGGATTCTGTTACTAGATTTAGAATTGTAATTTGGTACCACTGCTGCCACCTGCCGCTTCAGTTTTCACATCCAAATGCCACAAAATGCTAATTTTAAATTCTAGGTTATGGGTAAGCATTAGTATTTGGAGGCACAAATTCTTTTCAGCTGCTAAACCAAGTTCGAAATCTTTTTTTGTGTAGTTTATATTAGGCTACTCAAGCCCTATTTTAAATGTATGATTGGTTTGCGTGAAATGAATGAAAAAGAGAGTTAGAATACCCTGTGAGATGACCGATTCCAGAAACCATTTTAAACAAAACGTATCAAAAGTGTTGAAAGGAGAGCCAAAAGATTCTTTGCATGGAAAACAGATTTCACTTTGTTTTCTTTACTCAAAGTGCTTTTATTTAATCTGGTTCTGTTTCGGTTGCATAGTTCATGGTTCGCTGCGACTAAGAATTGTTTCCTAAGAAATCTATTGAGCTAAGTTCTTTTGGTGGGAAACTAGGGTTGCTGATGTTAGCAATGGATTGAGTCTTTCTGTTTGGTATGATTATATCTCTGAACAAGCATTAATAAATAGAACGAATTTGATCAATAATTTTATTCGGTCAAGATTCAAACTCCCATTGTAGAGCAAACTATAACTCAAACTCCCATTGCAGATCAACCTATAAGTCAAACTCCCATTCCAGATCAAACTATTGAGTCACATCCCCATTTCAGAGCAAACTGGGAACGAGGAGAAGCAATAGGGCTTGGCTATTTCTGGGGCATCGGTCGTTTTGAGATTCTGGTGTAATTAGGTTTGAACATTCTGCTCCTCTGCTTCTTGATTTATATATATATATATATATATATCTCGAATTTCTCTCAATTGCTAATGGATTTATCTTCTTGGGAAATTTCAGAAAGTCGGGTCGTGGGAGGAAGAAGCTGGTTTGTTGCCATTTTTAGGTATATAATTATGTGGCCTGATAGCATATTCAAAGCCTATTTAGTTATATGGGTTTTTTATTTATCTTTCTAAAGCTTTTCTGCCTGGATTTTAAATGTGATTGATAATTACTTAGCACGATAATTGTCAAGCATTTAATCGTTATTCATGAATACAAAATCTTCATTCACAAATCACAAGTATATGATGAGCTATTTAGAAATTCGGCATTTTCGTCATCCAATTCAATAGCATTTGGGATACTATGCTAGAATTCTATTACAGCTCCAGTTAAGAGATGTGAAGCATGAAGAATCTCTCTTCAGGAAGTGTTAGCTAATCCGGTTAATTGGTCAACGAAATTAGCCATTTCTGTCATTTAGATTGGATAAGCTAGGAAGAATGTTAGAATGATTGATCATATTTGTTAGCCCTATGTTTTTTTATTGCATAATGATGGAATTGACGCGTCATTTAGTCATAGTAATTGATGTAATAAGTACGTATCAACTGTTCCACTCATCTATCCCTCTCTTCATTTAGGTAAAATGTATCTTATTCATGCAGTTCAAGGTGATGCATTCAAGTCCCGCAGCAACGCGCGGGCACATTTTCTAGTAATAACTATGATAAACAAGGGAGCTCCAAGAGCCCATATACTCATGTTTGAATTGTTTGATGTGAAATAACTCAAACATAAGAGATAAGAAACTGGAACTTTAACTGCACTATTTAATATCAGACAGAATTGAAGGATGGAATCAAAATTGAAGCCAATGTGACCAAGATAAATTGCTTACAAACTCAAAAGGTATGCAAATATAAATAAAAATGGTGTATCAAACTCAAAAGTTGCTGAAAATTGGCTTCTAATTAAATAGAAAGTTGCCGCTCCAGTTGCTCATGGCTTAATTAATGGTTGCAAGAAGCCTAGCTCTCTCCACCCGCTGTCTCCAAGTAAAAATGACGAAGGATTATGTGTGTTGTTTCAGTACTGGGATTATGGAGCTCAAGGTCAACTTGGTCGACAAACTTAAAACCACTCATTTCTTCAATTCGGGGTGGGTTGATCTTCAATCTTTTGACGCTTGGCATCATGTTCCTCACCACCTTCATGGTTAAGATGTCCATTGACAGCCTCCGGACCCAAGAGAGAGATGTGTTTGCTGGTGATTGTACGACCTGCCCTAAGCTTTGGCCCCCAGTGCCTTTCTGGATTTGGAAGGAAGCGTGCTACCTTCTTGGTTTGTGCCTTGCTAAGAGACGCAACAGCTCGAGCAAAGTTAGCCTGCAAAAGAGAAAATGTCAGAAAGAGTGGTACGTTAGATATCTCTCTCTGCCCTCTCAAACGCGCACTCACACATGGGTTGATTTGGTCCATGAAATTACATGCACATACCAAAAGAAGAAAAGGAAAGTATAATCAGAAGAAAAAGGAAATCATTATTCGTATCCAAAAATGGGAGAAACATACTTGAAGGATGGGTTCCTTGGCAAGTATCACGGTTCCTGACTGATCCGCTGGCTGAGGTTTCACCGGGTGATTCTTCACCTACACAAAATCAAGGCTCAATAAGATACCATCACACACCCAATGCAACGAAATAGTAAATAGCACTAATCTCATAGAAAGTCTACATAATTTACAGAGTAGAGACGGAGCAAGCAACAACAGAACCACACTGTTAAAAGGGGGGCAGGAAGGAATCTACGTGCAGGGATCTTAAAAGATTGTCTACTATTGAAAAATTAATACACGCATGATGCGAGAAACAAATGAGAGCTGAAAGAGACTGCTCACCCAACAGCGCATTATGTCCCAAATGACATCCATGGGAGCATCTGATTTCAACCCCAATGGGTTTACGTGAGTTCCAGATATACGATACCCTGCATTGATCACAGCAGAACGGAAAATCACAGCAGATGGGGAAGTGCACTTTAATGTGGCACAGAGGTTGTGCAGACTCAAGAACAAAGGAACATCAGGCAGTTCCTGCAAACAATACAGACACATCAGTGAAACTGCATAAGCACATCTAATTTTTGTCTACTAGGACAAATATTAAGACATAGGGCACACCTCTGAAATTGTTGTTAGTACAGCAGAGATGCGACCATAAGCGGGATACCGCTCCTTCATAGATTTCACATCAGATAGTATGGAAGTCACCCATTCTTGATCATGGATAGGAGCAGACCATATAGGTCCACCCATATTGAATTTCTTCCCACAGTCACTGCATTCTTGAGGAACAACGGGACCAAAACCCGGTAGATATCTTACACTGGTATTCTGAAAATGTAAAGGGATTCCTTATCAGAATTGATACAAACTAGGATGAGAAAATAAATCCATTATCTAAAGCTACAAGACTTCAACAGACAAATAACTCTTGGTAAAGCCGTAAAAATAAAAGTGGTCAAACATACTCAACACATACACATGAAAATATTCTGCAAGGGGGCAAAGTTTGCTAATAATAGAGTAATAACTATGAAGATCAATGTGTGTCCTACAATTGAGGTTAACTCTCCTAAAAGATAGTTTCAAAGAATCAACCCTCATAACTCTCTACTTAACTTTTCAAAGTCTTCGTTACAAATAAAATTTAGACGACACTTACATATAGTTCAGGGAAAGCAAGAGAATGAACATTTCTTAGATGATATTTGTCATGAATACATAAGCACAACCTAACTCCCAAGGTATAGTATATCAGCACCATACCTTTGTGACTGTCCTTCCAATAGGCTGAAGATGAAATGAATCGCAGCCAATGCACTGATAAACATAGGATAGCTTAAGGGGAGAGTTCTTCATTGCACTTGCAGAACTGCAACCAATTATTTGAACTATCAGTTAACAGCAAAAGAAAGAAGCCTAGATAGATAACATTAAGTGAATTAAAAGGAAATAGGTCACATACGAGTAGATACGGACGAAAACTCGAACATAAAAGTCCATCTGAACAGATAGCACAGGAACAATGTACCGTTTGTAACGATTTGCATGACTCTGCATTTTATCAAGAAGAAATTATCCGTGCACTGAAATAGAAATATATACAATTTTTATTAACTGAAATATAAATTATGGTCCAATAAGGGTACTCTTCAAGTTCAATCTACCTTCAATCTAAACTTGATTGAAAACCTAAAATTATTATCCACATCATCATTATGCAAACGAAACACCCCACAATAAAGCTGTAAATAGTTGCCATAGAAAAGACGTGCCAACAACTATATTACCAAGGCAAATGCAGTATCAATTCTACTTCCCTTCTGGCTAAATTGTTAATAACAAGTTTCAAGTGGTTTGCACGTTCTAGTTAAAAGCTATAATCAAGGACATAACAATACCTCAATGCAAGCTAGGAGGATCCTCAAAGCCATTTCGTGACAATACTTCCCTCTCAAAGGATAGGAACCATATCTAATCCATAAAACAGTTCGTGATAAGTAAGTCCAAGAATCAGAATAAAATGCTTCAATCAAAGTATATCAGCAGAAAGATATTACTGCTTACTTTGAATAGCAAACCTCCCCATTTCCACCACATAGCACTGCCATATCAGTTGCTGTACACATTAGCAATCCTCCATCAACAACAGATTGAACTGCAGAGTCCAAGAAGACAGAGGGAGAACCATAAGGATCAAGATCAACCTGAAACACCAATAACCAGCAAAGAGTATGTTACTGCCTTATGAAGTGTCAAAATAATAGGAATCCACCCAAAGAAATTAATCTGCAGTGATGAATATAAAACAGCATAAGCATACCACATCAAATTCTTTTGGATGGGTGAGCATATGCACACGAGCATCAGCAAGATGTGATTCCACCTTTGAACATGCAACTGAACCATTGAACTTGATATTTCTCCTACAAGCTTCAACTGCACCTGAAGGAAGACAAACATTGGTGATAACTGTTATGATGCTTACAAGTAATTAGAAAAGCCCATATGCAGCTACAACTTATGTATATCAATATGTATTTAAATAGAAACTAGAAGTCCATAATCTCATCTAATTTGGGTCTAAATGCCCATTAGTTCTTCATTTCTTTTCAGGACAAACAAAGTAATCTTTAAAAGGTTAACACAAAAAATGGCCATATACATTTAAGTGCAGTAGTTAGAGACAACCTAAAACTTACCTTTATCATTGTCTAAAGCAACAACTTTACCAATTCCTTCCACTTCACGAGCATACCTAAGAGCTCTTAAACCAGAAGCTGACAGGGCCTGTGAACGAAAATGATACAAAACAGAAATGTGAATTGACATCTTCCAGAGTAAAGAGCAAAGACTAAAGAAACTAATTAATTGATCGAATCAAAATTCATGAAAAACCTCAAGAACTCTTGGTGGCTTCAGTTCCCCACGCCATTTTCCCTCAGTGACCTTGTCTGGTTTTTCTGAAACGCTACATGGTTCACCTTGTGATATCTCTGCTGCCATTTCACAATCTCCATTGGTTTTTTCTTCATTAATAGCAGGCTCATTAGGTACTTCTTCTACAACAGAATTTGAAGCATCTTTGTCAGACTCCTTCGGTGCAGGTTTTGCTTTCTTGGACGATCTTGCTTCATGCTCCTCCTTGCGTTTGGTTATGAATGTCCTCAGAACAGCAACTGATATGTCTCTGTTGTTAACCTAATAATTACAGACTGAAAAAATCAACATTCCCTCTAAATTACAAAATCTAAAAGTCAGCCAGCAAACTGAAGTGAATAAATGCCACCAGCACATACTCATGCTAAAAACTGAACAATCACCCATGTTGAAAAGCACCCCCTACATAATATTTACTATACGAAGAAAATTGCTACTAACATAATCAAAACGGGATTAACTCTTCAAAAACAAAGACCACAGGGCTGTAGACAAGTTAAAGCTTATCTATAGGTTAACTAGTCTTGCTTTGTCTATAAGCACATCCAATCTAGGTTGAACTTTCAAATATACTCTCTTTGTTTATCTGTTCTGCCCTTACTTAATTTGCGCTCCATATATAAAGCGTAAGCAGAAATACTAAATGATAAGCCAATTGAGCAATACATAATTCAACATATGGATTGGCACAAATGCTCCACCCAAATGCGAGACACAACTAACTTTTACACTACAAGGCTCCACCACACACATTCCTCAACGATTACTAATAAAAGAAAACAAAACCTTTCGCATGTCGAAATTCTTCAATTCTAAGCGTTAAGCTTTCCTATTGCTACACTATTTCCCCAGCAGCCAATCCCAACTTTTGAACAACTAACACTGAGCCAGCAAACATCCAATTCAGAATAACTCAAAACACAAAAAAAACCCCACAAACATTTCATCTAAAAATCCCATCAAACCTCACAACCCAATTCAAAAAATCACAAAAAGAGAAGATTTTGGCACCTGAGTTTTATTGTAAAAGACTTGGTTCTTAGCATGCATGAGAATCTCAGCCTCTCCTTCCTTAATGATGGCATAATCACTGAGATCGGTCGTCATGTTCCTTCACTTTCATGCAAACAAAAACCACCCCCGAATCTCTTCCTTCCCCGAACAAACGCAGAACTGTAAAAAGCAGGAGGCTTTCTCTTCCCCTTCTTCTTCTTCTTCTATGGAAGCTGTGGGTGGAGTCTGCGAATTTGTGCAGGGAGTCTGAGAGTTTGTGCAACTAGCATCAAACTGAAGACTTTTTATATGCAGACAACAAATATGCTTATTAATTTGAAAACCCTATCTTTTCCTGCTAATCGCGATAAAAGTTATGATTTTTCGGATAAATTGAAACCTTTCTTTTTCTCCTTTTTCGGCTTAAACCCTAAATCTCACCCGGTACACTTCAGAAAATAACGGTGGGTTTTCGCTAACATGAACAGGAAGTTATGGAGATAGTGCGCAGACTGGGTGGGGTGTCGGGTAACTCCCAATCCGGGGCTCCAAATAAAAATTGGAAACAAAAACATTTTTTAAGAGATTGTTCGCGGAAGTGAGAGAGATTGCTAATATGGTAATGGAAATTTTTATATGTAACGAAAAACTATGAATATTATTTGGTTACGGGTTTTTATATGATTATATGGGTTCTTAATCTGTATATATCTATATATATTTCTAATATAGTCTAGTTGTCTTCCTCTTCATTTGTAAAGTGAAAAGTGTTAGATTTGATTCTCGTCAAAGAAGAATTTGAACATATTATTTCTAGCTCATTGTAAGGTTAAGCCCACCCCCTCCACTTAGTGTAAATAATATCATTTGTTTAAATAAAAAATTTGAAAATAAAAAAAAATAAAAACCGGAAAACGGAAGGTAACAACAGAAGGAAAAGTATAGAGCCCAATTAACAAGCACAGGCTTGAATCCAACTCCACAAAACCTAACCACCCGCCGACCCACCGGGCATCTCACGCCTCTCCCCTCTTTCCACACCCTCCCAAGCCCAAACATTTCCTCCAAAACATATCTTTCCTCACTTGATGATGATAGTATGCCCCCAAAGATGGCCTCCAATGAATCAAACATTGCATTACAAGCCCTCAATCGACTTGTCCACTAAATGGCTCAAATTCTGGTGAGCTTCTTTCTACCAACACCACCAATTTGGGTGACATTAACCTCACCATACCTAAACATATATCTTCCCTCTCTAACTGGCGGGATTCACCTCTAAAAAATGTAAAATTACATGTTTATTTACAATTTTTTTTTCGACCAAAATATTTATTTTACATCTCGTCCATCAGAGAATTTTTTTATTTTACATCTCGTCCATTAGAGAATTTTTCTGCTAACCAAAAATGCAAAATGTTCATTTGAATGCATTTGCATCTCCAATAAGAAATTCTCTCGACAATTTTCTTATAAGCCATGCATCTTATCATTTCTAAACTTATAATATCAGATTTATGAAATCTGATATTACTCCCAATAGAAAGACGAAGAGTAGGCTTTGAGGGTTTTCTCAAATTTTCTATTTGTTGTACTGCCGACAGACATGGATTTAAGCATCCACTGTTGATGGTAATCCTCCATATTGCAGTGGATCTTAACTGTTGAATTCATGATTATTCTACGTCGTTCAAATTTAACAATAAAGAAATGTCACTTATTAGCTAGGAACATTATATGGTTCAAAGTGTGCTACACTACCTACCTAATCACTAACTAATTCTAAAGCCTTTTTCTATGATTATGCTCCCTACGATATAAAATCTGCAAAAAAAACCCTAGCTACCCCAAATGAAATTCATGGTGTAAATTGTAATTAGCTAGATCGTTCGAGAAGCCATATATATATTGACATCCACTTAATTAAGCAGAAATAATATCGTATAATATATATAGATGAAGGAGGTTCAATTAATTTTAAATGTTAATTGATGGACAAAAATGTTTAGATATGTATGGGTTAGATTGATAGGGATAGTTCCCAGTTTTGTCCAACATAAAGTAGGGTTTCGAGGTCATTGCTGAAGTAATAGTACTCAAAGGGGTAAGGAGGAGCAAAAGCTTTTGTAAACTATTTTCTTTTCTTCGATCCCATCAAATCGAGGATTTTATACAGTGAATCTTTAAGCATGACAAGATCTTGAAACTCTTATCTTATGTAATCTTTTCAAAGATTAGCACTAATATATAGTTTCTATGTACATCATTACCTATATTAGGCATAGAATGCATAAACAAATGAGCTAAGCCAATTAAGCACTTCTCAACTTTCCAAATAAGTTACTTAAACAAAGTTCAAAGGCCAGGTGTAGGATAGGTGACTCATCAATCCCCTCTCCTTTCAATACTTTATGCCCCCCATTACCTTAAATAGCATCCTAGAAACTTCTTTGCGTGCTTAAAAAAATAGAGGTCATTAACCATTAACAATATTAATGCTGATTAAGTATGCAAATACTTTTATCACAGATGTTAAACCCTAGTTGGATACAAGCCACTGTCCAAGGAGACATCAACAACCCACTAACTCATTTCGGCTTAGTTAAGATTTTATGCTTAATTTCTTTAGAGTAATGTTAGGGAGATTAAATTTGTGGATAAAGTTTTGAAAACTAAAGGACATGGAAGTTGATGATTGATTTATTACTTACACGTTAATATAACATGCTTATTCTAATTTGTGACATATCATTTAGTTTGCAAATTTAGTCTCCCTAGCATTACCCATTTCTTTATTAAGAAACTTCTTCATTAATCTTAAATAACAATGACAGAAAAGTTATACAATGTGGCTTTGTGTGTTTTTTTTTTTTTTTTTTAATTTTATTTTATCGAAATGTAGCTTTGTGGCTACAAGGAATATTGGTGGTGATGTCATATAATATGCGGAGTAGGGTTTGACGAGCCAGCTGTTCTGCTGTGATTGGAAAAAGGTGTTGAGCTGGTTGAGACCCATGTCTCAACACGTGTACTCAGGTTTGTAGAGGGAAGGGTCAATTCGATTTTATGATGTGGAGAGAGACAGAAGCAGAGATTCGATTCAAAGATATTGACTGAGATCATCAAAATGCATTAAACCAAACAAATTAAATATTCAAGTCACTGATTCAGAGGGAGGATATATGCCATGTATTATGTGTATATATAAGAGGAAGTTAACCTAGCCATGCATTGTGCTATAACCAGTGTGCGATAGAATACGAAGAAAACAAACAAGTACTACTTATTGAGTTGAGTTGAAAGAGATCAAAGTGCGAACTTAAAGATGGTAGCTATGATGGGTTGGGGTGGTGTTGGAGAACAAGGATGGAGGAAAGGTCCTTGGACTCCTGAGGAGGATAAGCTGCTCAGTGAATATGTCACCTTACATGGGGATGGAAGATGGAGTTCTGTGCCTAGGTCTACAGGTAATCAATCAAGTTAACTAGTCTGTTGACTGCTTTTTAACTACTTTTTTTACACCAGTTCTAATTATTTAAATGTGATATATTGTTTATGAGAGCTTTAATTTCGGATTAACTGATAATCTTAGACATGCATGCATGCTCACTTAGGGTTTTTTCTTCTTTAACAAAAATACTATTTTCAGGTCTGAACAGGAATGGGAAAAGTTGCAGACTCAGATGGGTGAATTATCTGAGGCCAGGACTGAAGAAAGGGCATATAACACCTCAGGAGGAAGGCATCATCATTGAATTGCATGCTTTATGGGGTAACAAGTAAGTAATAATACCCTAGCTAACTAATGCTCTCTCTCTCTCCCTCTCTCTCTCTCTCTCTCTCTCTCTCTCTCGATTAAATAATTATCAAAAGTACACAATATCTTTTATTTCTAATGTGAATTGTTATATGAATTTACAGATGGTCCACCATTGCAAGATACTTGCCAGGCAGAACCGACAATGAGATAAAAAACTTCTGGAGAACCCATTTCAAAAAGAAAGAGAAATGCACTCAGAAGCAAGAGAAACGAAAAGCAGAGATTCTAAAAGCAAAACAACAACAATTAGAGGAAGATCAAAACATGAAAGCAAGAGCCACTACACCACACCATCATTGGGAAGCCTGCAGCCAAGGAATAATAAGCAATATGAATAATATTGATATCCATGAAACACAAGCAACATGGCAAGAAAATATGGAGGAAGACAAATATTGCTTACCAAAATTGATGCACCAAGCAAGTGTGGAATTTTGGTCAGATTTATTAGGAGAAGAAGGGTTTTATAAGCTCTGGAACTTAGACGACGTAAGCGGTCGAATGGATTTGCAGCAACACACAAGCTTAAGCCAGTGCAACAAAGCAGCCATGCAGATCAATAATCAAGGAATTACTGCGGCTTTATCTTCTGGAGGGGAATCGTGCAATATATCATTGCAGAATGGAAGTGAAACTAGTTCACCTGCTTTATTTTGAGGAGGATACTCCAACACTTTCTCCAATGTAGGAGGCCACATCTTCCAATTAGAAATGCTGATCATTCATTAGATTGGTACTAAAATTATTTTTCTGTCGCCGACTGACACGATCGATGATGAACTTCTGATCCAGCTAGCTAGTTAGCTATAAGCGTATCAATAAAATTCTATATGCTGGTTTATGTTTCGAAAGCGTTATTGTACTATTGTTAATTTTGATTTGCATATATATATATATGATAAATAAAGGTAGTGTGGTCTTTTATATATTCCTAGCGTATGTATCCATTTAACTTTTTTTTAGACGAGTAATCAGTGGGAAATGAGGAAGAAAACACAGTACATGTGGACTTCTAATCAGCATACAGACTAGAAAGATCGGAAAGAAAACACAGTTTCATGCATTAAACTTGTTTTAAAAGGCACTGATCTCTAAACATTGGAAACTTTGTTTTGCAACAAATTAATAATTAGTTTTAAATGGAAAATTAATGGTAATTGGTCGAGAAAAAGTCTTGATTTTATCACTATAACCCCAATCAAAAGGACTGAAAACGCATTAGGAGCTGCACTGATCAAAACCTCATCATGGACTAAGTCATTTGTCTATATACACAATAAAAACTAGGGTGCTTTAGATTTTGGTCCTTACAATTCATTATTTCTAGATAAAAACCCATCTATCTTTAAAGATCCAGATTAAGCCCAAATTTAAAATTTGCAAACATATAGGAACACTATTGACATATTAATACAATTTATTTACACTCATGCCACTCATACTTTATGGTCCCTTTTCCAAATTCCTAAATTTATGCCAAATTAAAAGTAGTAGAAAAAGTGAAATAAAATGAAAAAAGTGTTTGCATTAACCGTATCGATGTCAAACTAGAAAAGTAATTTTTTTTTCGTGATATATTTTGTAGCAATTTTATCCATATTAATTGGTAGGTAAATTAGTTTGTTTCAATTATTTAAAAAAAAATACTACACCTATATTATATATTTTGAATCAAATAACATTCTTCTAACTTGTAGGTAAATTATTTTCTATGTATTGTTATATATGTTAGACATGTTTTGTTGTTGTATAAACATGAGTGGAACATAATATTGTTGATTTTATACATCAAACTGCATTTCTTTTGTTATAGGTAAATTATTTTCCATGTACAAGTACTTATGTTAGGCAAGTTTTGTTATTGGTACATACAATATTTTGTATCATTGTAAAGAAAGATGTTACATTACACCCATGGTATAATTGTTGTAGGTAAATTATTGAAAATTAATTTGTAGTTAGGTAATGAACATTTTGCATCATTGGAAATGAACATTTCAAAGCGTAGGTAGGTAAATTAATTTGTTCTAATTATATATAAAAAAAATTACGCTACACCTAGCTATATTTAATTTTTCCAATTATTAAAAAAATTTATACTACACCCAACCAAATAACATTTCTCTAACTTGTAGGTAAATTATTTTTCATGTATTGTTAGATATGTTAGGCACGTTTTATTGTTGTATAAACATGGGTGTAACATAGTATTTTTAATACTATACATCGAACTACATTTCTTCTTAATATAGGTAAATTATTTCTTTTTTTTAATATACATCGAACTATATTTCTTCTTAATATACATCGAATTACACCCATGGTATAATTGTTCGTAGGTAAATTAATGTGCATGTAGATAATGAAATACAATGTTCTAATATATTAATAAAAAAAGGATAAATTCAAAAGTATGCAAGAGTAGGGTGAAAAAACTGAATCGAATAGTTTTATGAAAATTCAATAGCTTTCTAAAAAATTAATATGCAATAAATTTTTAACATTAATGTTTTTTTTTTCTTGTTGCAAAATCATTTACTATTTCCTTACAATTAATTATCTACATCAAGTATGTAATAGGGGTATTTTAGGCATGTGAAAAATGTAAAATGTGTGAATTAATATGAAGTTAATGAATTTGCTTATGTGTATCCTAGTCATTGGGTTTTCTTTGAGTAAAAAATTTATGTAGGGTTTTATGTAAAGAAAATGGAGTTTGAAGGGCTAAGGTCATATTTTCACGGGTGCTTTAGATTTTGGCCCTTTGATGCGAGATTTATACGCACACAAATTAAACCCTCTTTTTGTCAATTGTAGTATAAGTATAAGTAGGGATCGTTCTGGACCGGGGATTAGGAGGGATTGTTAATCTCTTGGAAACTGACTCAAAAACGTAAAAACAAGATAAAACACTAAACTAAACTCAAAGAATGTGAAACTAAACGTTAAAACACTAAGACAAACCAAAAGACTCAAAATGCAAAAACACAAACTAAATTGATTTCTAACTAAATTGAACAATAAAGTAAAGGGGGATTGGATTTGGACGACTTTAAACTAAAAATGGAAACTTGGAAACAAAACAAATTGTAAATATGGATTTGACGGAAGTGAATGGATGGGAAGCTAGGTAAGGGGTTCATCGCCACACATGTTATACTTGCATACAAAACGATTTCTAATTGCTTTTCAATAAATTATGAATTCTCAACGCCCCGGGTTAATTAGGTCCGCTTAAATTAACCGTCAAGTTTTCCTTAAGTTAATGAATTGGATGATTGCATACGACAATCCAAAGCATTCCTCACAAGTTCCCTACATGAATTGCATAATAGAGATACAAGCAAGAATCATTAAGCATCATGAAAACTATAAGTGTTGACGAGGCATTCGTTACTATGATTGCATGAAACTTATGCCAAGAATATGTTTAACGCGATTGTTTATAAGCAACCTCCACTACTTGTGAATATAAGTTCATAACTATTACGTGAAACTCACTTATATTCTAGCGTCAAATTCATGCATGAAAATTAAGCGTTCATTCTTAATAAACATACATAAATAGGTTATCAATCAAACAGTTAAACAAATTGAATTCACAACTTATGAAACGTAATTAAAAGCAATCAAATCATATTACAAACATAAACATAGTTTCGAATCACCCCCTAGCTAAAGGGGGTTTAGTTCGTCATAACTTTGAAATCAAAGAAACACCTAAACATTCCAACAACTCAAAACTTGAATTGTATGAACGTTTAAGCACTCTTTTCTTCCATTTCTCATACGTACAAAACAAAGAGAATTAAAATGAAACCTTGAAATCAAAGAAACACCTAAACATTCCAACAACTCAAAACTTGAATTGTATGAACGTTTAGGCACTCTTCTCTTCCTCGTTGTTGTAGCACAAGGTTTAAGGATAGGTAGGTTGGGGGGATGGAAGTGTTGGGGAATTATGGAAATGGATGAGGAGTGGTAGAAATGGAAGATGGTTTTTGGATTCTAAGGGAGAGAAACTCACGGCTAAGGAAGTGTTTGTGGTGTGTTGTGTTGTGAATGAGATGATTTTTGAATGAATAAATGCAAGGGTATTTATAGGAGGAGTGGAGATGTATATGGCTATTTGTTTAAGGTGTTTGTGGCTACAATGATGAAGAATTGCATGTGGAAATAAAAGGGAAAATGTGGTGAAATGATGAAGTAGGAAGGTGGAAATGCATGTGAGATGTTTGTGGAATAAAGAATGAATGGTGGAATGATGAAGAGTTGCATAAAGAATGCATGTAGGGTTAGCTAGGTTGTGTGATGATGAGTGTATGTGGAATAAAGAATGAATGGTGGTGTAATGATGAAGTGAATGCATGTGGAATTAAAGAGGGAGAATGTGATGAAATGATGAAGTAGGAAGGTGGAAATGCATGTGAGATGTTGGAAAGGAATTGGGTTAAAGAATGGGAGTGCATGTGCAAGGTTGTTGTTGTGATAAGTGATAAGTGATAGGTGTATGGTTATGATAAGGAGATGAATGAATGATATGTTAAGTGATAAATGAATGATATGTGGTGATGATAAGTGATGATAGGTGGTTTTGATAAGTGATAAGTGAATGGAAGTGAATGACATGATAAGTAAATGATATGTGGTGAGTGATAAGTGAATGGAAGTGATAATAAGGCTATTTTAAAAGGCTAGGGTTTAAGTACATAGAATGGGTCTAAAATAGGTTGGTTTGCATGGCATAATATGTTTGATTGGGCTAGAGGTTTTCCATGGCTCAAAGGATTTGTTTGATTGGGCTAGGCCCTTTGTTTGATGTCCCCAAAGAGCATACAAGGCTTCAATTTCGTCCATCCTCTTTGCTCCATGATTAAGCTATCCAATCCATGCCCAAAAGTGCCCTAAATAGCCTCAAAATGCACTTTCTTGCTCCCTAAGCCCTTAGAACCTGAAAACACACAAAAGAAGCATAAAGGACTAAAATAACTATGAATTACCAACATAGATGCACGAAAACAAGCTAAGTAAGTCGCCTAATTATGCTCCTATCAAATACCCCCACACTTATCTTTTGCTAGTCCTCGAGCAAAACAGAAAGAAAAACAAAACAAAACGAAACGAAACAAAACAAGTAAAACACAACCTAAACCTTCCAACAACCGTCTTAGGGATTTCCAATGCACATGACATGTTAGAAATCATCATTCTCACAGATTTTAGTCATCTTCACACTTAAGTACATTCTTAATCATAGTCACCATATACTAGTTCACAATTAAGCATTTAAAACCATGTTTTGAATGTAGTAACATGCCTTAGAGAATTTGCTCAATTCCTTACAAGATATGCACTCGATTTTCACTCAGAATTTCTAACTACACACCCTAATCTAGTCATATGTGAGAAGATTGATGTAAACATGAAAACGAACACTCACATATATGTATCACAAAGAACGCAATTTCTGGAGTTAATAAGCATGTTTAGATATGATCTCATGAATGGAATGCTACTACTTAGACGCGAGAACCAGTGACACCATATGCTCATACCAAATTCAAACTCCACAATTGAAATACATAACACTCAAGATTGAAGTCACGGGTTGTAATGGGGCTTGGGGCGTGTGGATAACAAAGAAGGGATATGGAAAACAACGGTTCTTAAAGAAATAGTGAGCAAGGCAATTGAATCAACTTAGAATTCACTTTTGAATGAAAACTCAACTTTGGAACAAAAAGGGAGACAATTTAGGGCCAGAATTGGTGTTTTGAGCCCTTACTTCAATCACTCATTCTTTCATTTTTTTCAAGCTTTTTTTTTTTTTTTTTTTTTTTTTTTTTTCTTTCTTTTTTTTTTTTTCTGTTTTTCTT